ATGGAAAGCTCACCAGCTGCCAATGCAAAGCTCACATACTGTCAATCCAAAGCTCACCACTTTTTTTAAATAAAAAAAGTTAAAAAAATAGCACTACCATTCAACCATTTGTCAACCACCGCTCAACCACCGGTCTACGACGACATTGGGGGTCATCAGTGGTGGCCATTGGTCATGGGCGGTCAAAGTGTAAAGCTCACCAACTGTCAAGGCAAAGCTCACCGATTGACAATGGAAAGCTCACCAAGGAACAATGCAAAGCTCACCACTTTTTTTTAAAAAAAAAAGTTAATAAAATTGCACCACAAGTAAACTACCGGTCCACGGCGGTAGTCTGCAGCGGTTGGAAGTCAGCACCACCGCCCTTTGTTTTTTTTTGAAATCATTTTAAACTTTAAAGTGTGGTGAGCTTTGTGCACATATTCGGTGAGCTTTGCAATGTGAGTAAGTGAGCTTTGTTGCTGGGCTTTATAAGCATTTAACCATCAAATTTTGAAAAAAAAGTGTTAGAAAATCATGGTGAGCTTTGCAGTGGACAGTGGTGAGTTTTGCAGTGATCAGTAGTGAGCTTTGCAGTGATCAGTGGTGAGCTCCAGCGTCATCTGACTGAAACATGTCATCTTACCACAAGGTGTCATCTCACCGGAGTCAATCCCATATATATATATATATATATATATATATATATATATATATATATATATATATATATATATATATATATATATATCTGTGTGTGTGTGTGATTACTTTCAACCACTATGTTTCAACCACCGCCTCCACCGCCCAACGTGTGATTACTTTCAAAACATTGAAAGACAATGGTGGCGAAGAATTTCTAGGCGATCGTATCGCCGAACCCCAAATTGCTTGGGACTGGATCGGGCAGACCGCTCGTGTGTTGAGAGATCTGGACATACCTCTTAACAACTACCCGAGGCTTGCAACACAATTAATTCGCGGAGAAGCCTATGAGTGGTGGAAACGCACGGACGAGAGCGATGGAACCCTGAAACCATGGACATGGGAAATTTTTCGATTGGGCATTTAGGAAGGAGTATATTCCAACGCGTTTCCGTGAAGAGAAACGTACAGAATGTGTTGAGTTGCGACAAGGGGATATGACGCTCCTTGAATATCGCCAAAAGTTTGTCAGTCTTGCCAAATTTGCACCGACGTTGGTGAGCACCACAACTTATCGTATTGAGGAATTCAGGTCAAAACTCCGACCTGATCTCAGGGTGCAAGTATCTATCATACCAACGGTAGATTTTACAGCCGCTTATGATTTGAGTGTCAAAGCAGACAAGACCTGACTGCTTGCAAAGAGTACTTGAAGAAAGAAGGTACTGGTCCAAGTTATCGTCGCCCTGCAGGTTTCGCTCCAAGTGGGAAAAGACCATTCCAAGGACCTAGCAACTCACCACACTTTAAGAAGGGAAAATCTGTCCAAACCCAGTTAGTAGCATCTGTTGATAGGACGAGGAGGTGGAAACACCTGACATGAGAGTCATGGGGGAGGAATCATCCTAGAGAATGCTGATTGAAGAAAGGCCTATGTTTAGGATGCGGAAAACCTAGACATTTCTAGAGGAAATGTCCTACCAATCTTGGAGAGCCATTTCCACCCGCACCTGTTTCCAGTCAGACAGCATTAGCGCGTCCCGCTCCTAGTCAATGCTCGACAGCAGAATCCAATCCTGCTAAAAGCCAAAAGAAATTCCTGAATTGAAGGATACACCGACGGTATATAGCTTTTCTGATGTATTCCCTGATGAACTTTCTGGTATACCATCTTCCAAAGAGGTAGAATTTTCCATCGATCTTGTTCCTAGAACAAGACCGATATCTACAACTCCTTATTGTATGGCTCCTGCTGAAATGAAAGATTTGAAGGCTCAATTACAAGAATTGCTTGATAAAGGATTCATTCGACCGAGTGTTTCCCCATGGGGAGCACCCGTTTTGTTTGTAAGGAAGAAGGACGGCTCGATGAGATTCTTCATCGATTACTATCAATTGAATAAAGTCTCAATCAAAAATCATTATCCTTACCTCGTATCGATGACTTATTTGATCATCTTAGAGGATCTACTGTATTCTCTAAGATTGACTTACAATCAGGATACCATCAAATCCCTGTCAAGAAATAGGACATTCTAAGAGATTGCATTCCATACTCGTTATGGTCATTATGAGTTCACGGTGATGCCCTTTGGTTTGATCAATGCTCCTGCAGTATTCATGGATCTCATGAATAGTGTATTCCGACCCTATCTAGATCAATTCGTAGTTGTATTCATCGATGACATTTCGGTATACTCGAAGAATCGAGAAGATCATGCAAAACATCTGGAAATAGTACTCCGAGTGCTACAAGAGCATAAACTTTATGCAAAGTTCTCAAAGTGTGAATTCTGGCTCGACAAAGTCACATTTCTGGTTCATGTGCTTTCGAAAGAAGGTGTCAAAGTAGACCCTAGTAAAATATCCACCATTACCGAATGGAAGGTTCCAAGGAATGTTCGTGAAGTGAGAAGCTTTCTGGGATTAGTTGGGTATTATCGACGTTTTGTAGAAGGCTTTTCCTCAATTGAAACTCCACTAAACAAACTTCTAAGGAAGGACGTGAAATTTGTATAGACTGACGCATGCCAACAAAGCTTTGAAAAGCTTAAGAAATGTCTGACGGAAGCACATGTACTTACACAACCAGTACCAGGTGTAGACTACACGGTGTTTAGTGACGCATCTCATAATGGCTTGGGATGTGCACTCATGCAAGATGGTAAAGTAGTGGCATACGCCTCAAGACAATTGAAGACCCATGAATGTAACTATCCCACCCACGATCTTGAGTTAGCAGCAGTTGCATTTGCTTTGAAGATATGGCATTATTATCTCTTTGGAGAGACGACATATATTCATACAGACCATAAAAGTTTAAAATGTCTGCTGACTCAAAAAGAGTTGAACTTAAGACAAAGAAGATGGCTGGAACTGATCAAGGATTATGACTGTTATATCGACTATCATCCTGGTAAGGCTAACTTAGTAGATGACGCGTTAAGTCGAAAGATGGTGGCCGAACTTCGAATCCAATAAACTCTCGAAAATGAGATTTATGCTGCACAAAGATAAGACGAATATTGTTTGAAAATGAGTGAGCATGTCTCTAAGGGGGAGAGACAAGACTTCACTGTGAATGATGGTGTTTTATTTTATCAGAACTGATTGGTAGTTCCTAGTGGTGAAGTGAGAGAACGTTTAATGCGTGAATCTCACGAAACCACATATACCATGCATCCCGGCAGTAATAAAATGTTTCAAGATCTGAAAAAGACATATTTGTGGCCCACGATGAAGCAAGAAATTTCAAAATTTACGACCCGATGTCTGACGTGTCAACAAGTCAAAGCAGAACATCAAGTGCCAAGTGGATTGTTGCATCCACCTACCATTCCTGAATGGAAGTGGGAAAGAATTACTATGGACTTTATAATCGGACTTCCATTATCAATTAACAAGAATGAAACTGTTTGGATAGTCGTTGACGGATTAACCAAGTCATCCCATTTCATACCAATCTGACGTGATACGTAATGGGAAAAGTTGACATAATTGTACATTCGAGAAATCGTAAGATTGCATGGTGTGCCAATATCTATTATTTATGATCGTGACCCTCGATTCACATCACAATTCTGGAAGAGTCTGCAGAAAGCGCTAGGTACTAAACTCAGCTTTAGTACAACATTTCACCCGCAAACAGACGGAAAATCTGAAAGGACAATCCAAATCCTAGAACATATGATGAGAGCATGTGTAATCGATTTTGGGAGCAACTGGGAACAATATTTACCATTATTTGAGTTTGCTTATAACAACAGTTACCAAGCGAGTATCCAAATGGCCCCGTATAAAGCCTTTTATGGGAGACATTGTAGAACCCTAGTTTGCTGGACTGAACTAAGGGCCTGTTCTTTAGGACTGGAAAAAAAGGAGCTAGAAACTGGAAGAAATTGGAAGAGACTGGAAGAAACTAGAAGAAACTGGAAGGAACTGGAAGGACTGGAAGAAACTGGAAGAAATTGGAAGAAACTAGAAGAAACTGGAAGAAACTGGAAGAAACTGGAAAAACTGGAAAAACTGGAAAAAATTAAAAGAAACTGAAAAAACTAGAATAAATTGTAAAATTTAATAAAAGTTTTTATGTGTGGTTTTAAATTATTCTCATTCTGATTCTTGTTGATATAAATTATTATTATTGCTATTATTATTATTATTATTATTATTATTATTATTATTATTATTATTATTATTATTATTATTATTATTATTACTATTATTATTGTTGTTGTTGTTAGTGGTGGTGGTGGTGGTAGTGGTGGTGTTATTACATTATCTAAATGATTGTCTTTAAAATAAAAAAATTTTACGAATATTATTTTCATACATAAAAAGATAGTTTAAAAAAATAATTAGAATATATAATATTAGCTTAAATATCAAAATGTTAAATAGTTAAGAGTTATTATGGCTATATGTATTTATTATAAAATAATATATTTGTAATTATATTTTATATATTACAAGATTTTGTTTAAAATATCTGGCATGTCATATAATGTAATCAAACATATTTTTTCTTTAAGGATTGACAATTTATTTCCATTGTAACCCTACTTTTTGAATAAAAACATAGAACTGTTTTTTTATATTTTTTATGTTATACTCTTACATTAGTCATTTTTTCTAAAGTATTTTGACTTTTAATTATTTTATAAAAATTAGAAAAATAAAAAACAAAACTAATTTTTGAAATAAATAAAAATGAGGAAGAATTGAGTAATAAAGACCAACTCAATGAGTCTTTTTCTCCGCTTCTTTTTTCGTTTCTCCCCTTTTTTGTATATTGTTTTTGGTTTCCCTCCTTATTTTCTTTTTCTCTATTCGTTTAGTATATATATAAGGGACTTCATCTTAAATCCCTAATTCCCGTACGCCACAATCTGCAGGCTCCCCATCTCTCTCGCTGCCCTGCTTCGTCCATCGTCCAGGTCTGCCTTTGCTCTCTCTTAATTTTTTTAGAATCATGTTCCTTTATCTATGTTTGTTTTCAAAAATTTATTTGATACACTTGTCCTTCTTTCTAGAATTATACTTGTGAAAGAGGCTTTCTTAGATCTGTTTTATGTTTGATTAGTGTTTGGCTGGTATTCCGTGACATTCAATTTGTATTCTAATAGAATTGAGGGTTTAAGTAAAATAGTGTAGGTATTTAATTCACGAGTGGTAGGTTATTTAATTTTTTATTCAATTTCAAACAAACTCTATCAAAAAGTAAAATAGTTTAATACTCTCTCTGTCTCTAGTATTTATTATATTGAAAATTTAAAAAATATAATGTATATTTTATTTAATTATATGTCAAAAGTTGAAAACAATTTACCGAAAAAAGTCAAAACTGAACAAATACTCAGGGACAAAAGTAGTATGATTTTTTTTATTTTGTAAATGTTTTAAAAAATCATATTAATACGAAGTACTACTTATCATTTTGATTTGTTTTTTATTTTTACATTTGTTTTTGCACCACTACATGAATTTCCTGGCTCCGCCACCGCCATGTATTAGGTATAAGGTAACTTATAATATTAGTATTTTTAGAAATATGGCTTCGGGACGGAGGTCTCATTGGACTGATGATGACGATGAGAAGTTGGTAGATTTGCTAATTGATCAAAGAATGCAAGGGGCTTCAAAATTTGAATGGGGCGACATTAAAGTAATGTTAAGGAAAGTTGCAAAGACAGAGAGAAACAAATAATAAACCACTATAATGAATTGTCAAAAAAGCTCAAAGCATGGATGCACTTATAAACATGACAGGTGGTGGTATAGACACTACAACTGGTGTGCCTATTGTGGGGGATGCTAGGTGGGAAGAGTTCATTAAGGTAACTCATTTAATTAAAAGCATGCTTTAATTAGTATAGTGTACATGCACTTCATATAATAGAACACTTAAAATAAACTTTAATTGACATGTAGAACAATCCAGGATGTAAATCATTTCGCAAGGGACCTCCTGCACTTATAGAGAAGTTGCGAGTATTATTTGGTGGTAGGGAAGCAACTGGCAAAATGAGCTTTTCTCCAGGATTAATTCCTTCTGCTAGCATTGCGAGTGAAAAAGAGAATGTACCAAATATTGATATAGATCACGAGAGCGAGTCTCTTGAAGATCCTAATGGAACTCCTGATGAGGATGTACAATGCTATAGAAAGGAGGACGTTGACTCTCCTCGTACAAGTTCACAAGCTACTTTTTTAAAAAGAAATTTTGAAGATAAGAGCTCAATGCATAACAAAAGGCAACAACTTTCTAAGATGAAAATCCAAGAGTTTGAGATTGACAATGCTCTCTCAATTATTCGCATGAAGGAAGAGGCAAAAAAAGAACCATCCATTTATAAACAAGTCGTCGATAGGCTTAAGGCAATACCTATTAATTTTAATAAAGGAGTTGACTTTATCTTTGAAGCACTAGAGATGATTAAGAATGCACATGACATGGCATACTTTTTAGCAATGGATGACGAGCTTGCAGTTAAGTTTTTGATGAAACGATTGGGTGGAATTTGAGTGTTTTTAGATTGTAGGCCTAGTATTCTATTTATACACCTTACTTGGTTTAAAATATATTTATTTTAGTTATATTGTTTAGACTTTTAAACATATTAGTGACTTGACTTTATGTTATCATGCTATTTTTTAAATTAATAAAGTTATCTTGTTTGTGATATGGTTTGTGTTTGTTGCATGCATCTAAACTACTCGTATACCGCTTTGTGTATTTGTAATTTTTTTGAATCCTTTGATCTAATTATTTGTTGTCATATTACGTGCAATGCAGAATGGATGAAGAAGAACGTGCGGTTTATATTTTAATCCTACATAAAATAAAATGAATCTTGTCAAAACGATCTCGAATGCAATTTTCAAAAATACCACGAACAATACATGTCGAAAGTGGGGCAAAATATATGCATAAAGTTTTATATGGTCAAAATATTAATGCATGTGCAAATATTTTTCGCCTTGAAAGAGATGCTTTTATACTTCTTGTTAACACAATCTTAGAGAGAGGGTTTCTTGAAGAAGGCCGTTTTATTAATGTAGCAGAAAAAGTTGGGATATGTTTATTCATTTTAGCAAGGGGAGCAAGCTATCGGGATGCAGAAGATCGATTCCATCATTCCTTATCCTCAATAAGTAAATATCACAAGCAAGTCTTGAAGGCGTTGGTGGCTCTATTTGTCGATATTATAAGGCCTCAGATGAAGTGCCCGAAGAAATTGCGAACAATACCTTGTATTGGCCTTTTTTTTAAGGTAGGTCAAGGATCACTAAAAAGTATTATTCAATGATCTTATAAGTTTTCAATAATTTTTTACATGTTTTTGTTTTGCATAATGTATGATTATAAAATGTTTGGTTATAATGTTTAATTCTTTTCTTGAAGGATTGTATAGGAGCTCTAGATGGAACACATATTGAAGCTCGTGTAGGTAATGAACATGTTCAACCTTTCCGAGATCGTAAAGGGAACAAGAGTTGGAATGTTTTGGCCGTATGTTCATTTGACATGTTTTTTACATATGTTAATGCCGGTTGGGAAGGGAGTGCTCATGACTTAGCTGTATTAAGAGATAGTTTGCTTAAATCTGAGTTTGATTTTCCACACCCTCCACCAGGTACTTGGATGCTTACTCTATAGAATAATCTATTCAATAGATACATGTATGTAGCTACGTTTGCATGTTCACTCACATGACATTTTTTACATATGTATGGCTAGGTAAATACTATTTAGTGGATTCTGGGTACCCTTGTACCTCTGGATATCTGGCTCCATATAAAGATAAAAGTGTTCGATATCACGTTCCAGATTTCGCAAGAGGTCGTAAAATCGGCAAATTTCCTCAAGGCATTAAAGAGTTATTTAACTATCGCCACTCCTCTTTGAGAACAACTATAGAGCGAACATTTGGAACTTTGAAGAACACATGGAAAATATTGCACAACAGGATGCCTCAAATGAAACAGGAGCACCAAATTCAAATTGTTATTGCAACATGCACTTTGCACAATTTCATTCGTCTTCATCGAAAGGGAAAACCAATTTCACTGAGGAAGCAAACAGCTCAAGATAGGCCCAAGGTGATGCTGTTTGATGAACAAACTAAAGATTCAATGAAACAGTTTAGAGATGAACTAACACTTAATATTCTACAATGTAGTTAAACTTAATTGAAGGTACTATATTTTAGATTAAAATATCGATGTTTACCTTATATAAATTTAGATTAAAAAATATTCTACTCCCTCCGTCCCAAATTATTTGCCACATTTGTATTCCCGAGGCAAAATATTAAATTTTTTCAATTCATTTTATTTACATATTGGTATAGAAATAAAAAATAAAATTTACATATTAAAAAACTACATGAAAAGTTTTTTGAAATAAGAGGTGTCAAAAATATTTTATTTTATCAAATAATCAATGAAAACATCGAAATAAACAAAATTTCCCGCGACTGTTTAAAAAGCAAATGTTGTGAATATTTAGGGACAGAGGGAGTATATAACTATTTAACCATAATTTTTTAAATAGTTTCCTATTTTTTTCTTGTAGATTAATATACAAAAAAAATGGTATTATTCATATTAAAAAGTTGAAGAAAAAAATAATGAACATGAATCATAAAAATAGTGAGATGACAAAATGAAATAATTTATAAACTATAGTTATGAACATAAAAGTTGTAATTAAAAAAAACTGTAATAATAATAATAATAATATTTTTTTTAGAGTGATTTGTCAGAAAGTAGAAAGAATTTGAAGAAAATAAATATAGTTGGAAGAAACTTGAAGAAACTTGAAGAAACTGGAAGAAACTGGAAGGAGTTGGAAGGAACTGGAAAAAACTGGAAGAACTGGAAGAAACTCGAAGAAACTGGAAGAAATTGGAAAGAACTGGAAGGAACTAGAAAAAACTGGAAGTTAAGAGTTCAAGTACAAAAGAACAGGCCCTAAGTGAGCAAAAGCTTGGAGGACCTGATCTTGTAAAAAGTTCGTCTGATCAGAGAAAGACTGCAAGTGGCTTCTAATCGACAAAAATCTTATGCCAACTTGAAACGTCATGAGATTGAATACAATGTTGATTACAAGGTGTTTCTGAAAGTCTCACCGTGGAAGAAAGTAATACGGTTTGGTAGGAAGGGAAAACTGAGTCCAAGGTATATTGGACCATATCGAATCAGTGAATGGGTAGGTCCAGTGGCCTATCGGTTAGAACTTCCACCCGAACTAAACAAAATTCATGACGTATTCCATGTGTCTATGTTAAAACGATACCGATCTGATCTATCTCACATCTTGACCGATGGAACTGTAACCCTTGATGAAAATTTGACCTGTGAAGAAGAACCTATCCAAATCTTGGCACGGGAAATCAAAGAATTGAGAATTAAATCTGTCCCTCTAGTCAAGGTACTATGGAGGAATCTTTCGAATGAGGAAGTGACATGGGAAACTGAAGAGTCAATGAGGACCCAATATCCGAATCTCTTCAATCAATGACTCAGGTAATTTCGAGGATGAAATTATTTTAAGGGGGAGAGAAATGTAATGCCCCGAAAATAGGCCTATCAGAATTAATTAATTAATTACTGAGAAGGACACAAAAATATGTGATTTATAAAGTTTGTCAATAAATAATGAAAATTATATCATTATGTAGAGTTTAACTATTTAATCCCAACGGTTCAATCAGATTTTAATTCGGAGAAAGTTGGACCAAAAAGTGTTCCCCAACAGGGACCTAATTAGTCCCAATCAGGTACTTGCGTTTGGAATGGGAGAAATATCACAGCCCGCTCCACTAGGCGCCCGAACAGCAAACCAGACATCATCCTTGGTAGCATCCTTCACCATTTTCCTATATAAGGACCACCTCCATTCCTTCAATTTTTCACCATTTCTCACAATATTTCTATCTATTCTGTTGCTGGGAGCGAGGAGAACGCGGTGGTGCTATCGTATTGGTGTGAGGTCGCTAGAGTTGAGAGTTATCACCGCCGGAAGTTTCGCCGAAAAATCTTTAAAACCTCCATTAAGCTTCGAGGTAAGCCCATAAATATATCTAGTGACTAGAGTGTCCATGTAGATCGATTCTATGTTCATAACAGATCATTTGGTTGAGTTATGTGTTAGAAAAGCTCAAAATTAGTTTTGGAAGAACCAAGAATCATAAACTCGTAAATTGTTGTTAAAGCTTCGAATTAATTGTATTAAAATGATCTATGGATGTTAGAGAACACTTCTATATGTTTTTAAATCAAGCCTAACTACCTAAAATGACCCATACGAACTTTGGACTGACGAAGAAGACAAAGTACTGTTCATTCTCGTAGAACGGTAGTGAAATCCCGTCTCACGGTAGCCATATACTGTCTAATAGTATCACGCTACCGTCTTACGGTAATTAAATACCGTTTCTGACGATTTCTAACTAGAAATTTCAAATTCCAAAGCTGTTCGATCCACCCTGCTCCTATCCGATTGTAAACATGTACTAGTATTACGATATGCTAAAATATGATATTTAAATTAATTTTAAACATTTATTTGATGCATGACGGTAAGCTAGAGTGTTAACACTCGATGCTAGGCTGCTATTTGTTATTATACAATTAATGATATTAATCATTATTATATTTGTTTATATTTATTGATTATGATTGTTATGATAAATGATGATTGTGTTCCTAATAAAAATGATTATTTTTAATGATTGAACCATGAGTAAAATGAATACATTGATGATTATGAAATGATTTGTATTGTTAAAGATATCTAGAAGAACTCTAAGATATATCTGTTTGGAATTGATAATGACTATTAAGGATATCTAGAAGAACTCTAAGATATATCCATATTCATGTTGGTTTTTAATACTATTTTGAAGACCTCTATGATAGATTAGAAATAGGCCTTGCGAGTATAACTATAAATTTTTGGTGGCCTGGGTTAAAACGTACGTACGGGATCTACAATCCAAACTTGAGGATCACTCGTTTGGGGATACCACCCAACACGACAATGAGCATTCCGCTCTTCGGTTTCTGGTTGACGTTAAGTGAAAGTAAGTTTAATTTTAAACTAGGCCTAGCTTGATGATTGGATAAAAGTACCTTATACTAGAATATAGTTTAAGAATTTGTTAGAATTATCTTAAACTAGAATTCGTTTAAGGGTTGATAAACATTAAATAGATTAACCTTAGACTAAGGATATTGTTGAATGAAAAATGATGAATATTGTATGTTGAATGTTGAATACTGATTATTGAATGTTGAATATTGACTGATGAATATTGAATATTGAATAATGAATGATGAAAATTGAAAATTGATTATTGAAGTATGAACTGAACATTATGTGCACGATATCAAATGAATTGATTATGAATTGAGTTTCAATTTATATGGATGTTCGACGCATTAGATATGCTTACTCAGCTTCAATACTGAGTGTGTAGTATGTTTTATTTGCTACATGTAGGTAAACAAAAAGAATGAAGCATGATTTCCAAGAGGCAAATGGGACGAGATGGTCGGACGGAGGTGTGTATTGGATTTGAATTACTGTTTGAAAAGGACATAAATTAATTATGTTTATGTTGTATTTTATTAAGCTTCCGCAACATTAAAATACTCTGTTCCTATTTTGAATGATTTATTTGTTAGAATAGGTGCCCTTCACTAGAGGGGGGGTGAATAGTGAGGCACGAGAATGTTTATAAATTTTCGCGGAATAAAAATCGCAAGGATAAAGTAAAGAGCGGAATAAAAAGGAGTAAAGGGAGCACACCAAGATTTATACTGGTTCACCACAACGTGTGGCTAGTCCAGTCTCCCGAGAGACTCTCTCGAGCTAGACTACTTCCGTTAAGCTTACAGGTGCTTAACAAATCGTTACAACATGAGAACTCGAGTCCCACGAGCCTCAATACACTTGCTCGGAGATACCGCACTCCAAGACTTCAACCCGAAGGAATATGCCCTTCCTTCGTACAACCAAGGGAACAAACCTCCCTTAAAGTGTTCACAACACTTAACCACTCAAGAACAAAAACTCTCTTAAAGATAAGAATATGAGTAAATTAATTTAGATCAAGAACACGCTCAATTCCTCAAGAAATGACTCTAAAAAGCTATGTAAAAAGTTTATGGAGTGATGCAATGTAAGCTATGAAATGTGTGAGGAATGGATGTGAAAAGTAGACCCAAGAGACCCCTTTTTATACCCAAAAACTAGGTGCAACGGTTGGAAGAAGATTGGGGTTGATTGGCTTGATTTTTGGAAACCAAATAAAAGTGGATCTGCTGAAATCTACCCTAACAGCGCTGTTCATATAGTGAACATCGCTGTTTTGGCTTTGACTTTCCTTTAAAAATGGCTAACGGACACCAAAACATCGATGTCTAGAGGTCTACATCGATGTTGGGGTGTTTGACTTTCAAAAATGGAAAGATTTTGTCTTGAATAGCCCAACGGTCATTTGAAAACATCGCTGTTCAACCATGAACATCGCTGTTCAAAAACTTACTGCCCTGGGCTTCTGAAGGCCAACATCGCTGTTGGGATTTCCGACATGCATGTTGGGATGGTTTGCCAGAACCATGGTTTGGCAGCCAACGCCGAAAACTGATGTCAAAAACCAAATTTCTCCAAAATGAAAACCAAGTGTTGGAAACTCATATACAATGTATTTTATGTAGAAACCAAGTATAAAAACTTAAAAACCACTTCATTAAGGTAAAAACCACGGCTAGCCAAGTTTATGCCGTTTCACATGGTTTTCACCAAAAGACCAAAAACGAAAGGTGGTTTTTAGAATGTTTTTGTTGGAGAACCATTTGGATATGTCCAGAAGTAAAAACCAATCATAAAATATTAAAACCACTTGATTGATTTGTACGCCAAAAACCAACGCCGATAACCAGCGCCGAATGCCGATAACCTATGCCGAAAAAACAAAGGTTATGGTTTTTGAAAAATAATGATTTGGAAAACCTTTTAATGTGTCCAGAAGCTTAAACCAAGGATAAAAACCCAAAAACCATTTGGTTAAAATGAATGCCAACAACCAATGCCGAAAACCGAACACCATAGCCGAACGCCAATAACTGATGGTTATGGTTTTGGTTAAGCAAGAACCATGGGTTTTAGAAACTTAAAAACCTTTATGAAAACACTCATTTGATGCATGAAAAACATATTTTGTTTTGAGCCATGACGTAGAGAAATTGAATGAGCTTGTTACAATAAAAACCTAAGTATTTAGAATACGTCTTCAAAGCGCCAATGTCGCCATCTTTAGCAGCGTCAATGTCTTTCTTGTGCTTTTTGTTTCTTCAAAGAACTTTTTCTATCTCTTTGAATCTTTTAATTTTGTTCCATGTTCCCGACGGTTTGTCAATATCAAAACCTAAACGGAAACAAACATTGTCATTAGCCAAATGTCAAAGTGAAAACGTTTTCCAACAATTTCCCCCTTTTTGATAATGACAAACCAAGGAGGGGATATGCAGGCCAAGTTGGGTTTTCAAAGAGAGAGTAATGGTAATTCCCCCTATGTCTTTGAAAACAAGATTCCCCCTCACTTGTTGCATATACCCAAACACTTCCCCCTTTTGGCATTAGCAAAAAGCACTAAGTAAAGTTTTTTAAAAAAGGTACTCCCTGAGCATTGATGTTTGATACAAAACATCATTGTTGTATGTTCCCCCTAAAACTGATACGATGTTTATAGCAAAAACAATACCCCCGAGACTCCCCTTGATGCAAATCATTAGGTTTGTGCTTGGAGCATCCACTACAAAAATGTAGTCTTCAAACACACCTACATATGCATCTAAAAATAATTTTTAGGTACCCAAAAACGTTTGGGTCCTTGAGGGTTAGGGAAATAATAATCATAGCTATAAAACAAATCCCTGTGTTTGGTAAAACAAACGGGTGTTATGTGTCCTATCTTAGAGCAATAATGGCAAACTACATTTGGATTATGCATATGCCTAGGTTGAGCCAAAAATTTTCTAGGTGATCTAAAGTCATTATTCCTAGAGTTATTAATTAAGTTCATATACTCATTTCTAGGTTGTCTCAAATTATTTTTATCATTTATAAAAATCTTAGAGTCATTTCTAGGTTGTCTCAACTTATTATTTTTATTCTTTCTAAAATTAATTTTGTTATTCCTAGGATTATTTTTTTTTCTAGGTGGTTTATAATTCTTAACTTCTTCACCAAGTTTCTTAGGCTCTTCTACCTTAAGTTTTTCTATGGTGCTCTTAAGTTCTACATTCTCTATTTTTAAAGATTCACAAGAGGAACAAGTAGAACTTTGGTCAAAGGAAGAAGAAGCTTCGTTCATTGCCTTAATCTTATTTTTAAGGTCAAGAATATCATTTTCTAAAAATTTATTTTCTTCTTCTAAAGCATGAAGTTTAGCCTTAGCCTCTTTGGCAATTTTTGAAGCTTTCTTGAATTCACAAATAGTTCTTTAAAAGCTTCTTGTAATTCTTCAAAAGAATGAGAGTTAGAAGTACTTACCTCTTCTTCTTCATTGGCCATAAGACAAATATGGGTTACTTCTTTTTCTCCTTGTAGAGTTTCGTATTTCTCACGCATGCCATCCCATAGATTCTTAGTCGTTTGATATCCGGAGAACTTTTGAATTTCTTGCGCGTCAATTGCACATAGTAGAAGGTTAAGAGCTTTTGCATCTTATTCCACCTTCTTGATATCTTCTTCATTGTATTCCTCCTCGAGTTTCTTTACTTTTTTCTTGCCCACCTTCTTCGTTGGGAGAGAAACTTCGTTGTTGATTGCCATCCAAAGTGTGTAATCAATGGATTGAATGAAGATTCTCATTCTATCTTTCCAATAAGAGTAGTTTACTCCATTAAAGAGTGGTGGCCTTGTTAAAGAGTGTCCTTCGCTAAAAGATCATGCGCTCAACATTCTCAAAAGAAATATAGATCGTTCTCTCAACCCATTAAGGCTTTTAGAGAGTTAGGCTCTGATACCAATTGTTAGAATAGGTGCCCTTCAGTAGAGGGGGGGTGAATAGTGAGGCACGAGAATGTTTATAAATTTTCGCGGAATAAAAATCGCAGGGATAAAGTAAAGAGCGGAATAAAAAGGAGTAAAGGGAGCACACCAAGATTTATACTGGTTCACAACAACGTGTGGCTAGTCCAGTCTCCCGAGAGACTCTCTCGAGCTACACTACTTCCGTTAAGCTTACAGGTGCTTAACAAACCGTTACAACCTGAGAACTCGAGTCCCACGAGCCTCAATACACTTGCTCGGAGATACCGCACTCCAAGACTTCAACCCGAAGGAATATGCCCTTCCTTCGTACAACCAAGGGAACAAACCTCCCTTAAAGTGTTCACAACACTTAACCACTCAAGAACAAAAACTCTCTTAAAGATAAGAATATGAGTAAACTAATTTAGATCAAGAACACACTCAATTCCTCAAGAAATGGCTCTAAAAAGCTATGTAAAAAGTTTATGGAATGATGCAATGTAAAGCTATGAAATGTGTGAGGAATGGATGTGAAAAGTAGACCCAAGAGACCCCTTTTATACCTAAAAACTAGGTGCAACGGTTGGGAGAAGATTGGGGTTGATTGGCTTGATTTGTGGAAACCAAATAAAAGTGGATCTGCTGAAATCTACCCTAACAGCGATGTTCATATAGTGAACATCGCTGTTTTGGCTTTGACTTTCCTTTAAAAATGGCTAACGGACACCAAAACATCGATGTCTAGAGGTCTACATCGATGTTGGGGTGTTTGACTTTCAAAAATGGAAAGATTTTGTCTTAAATAGCCCAACGGTCATTTGAAAACATCGCTGTTCAACCGTGAACATCGCTGTTCAAAAACTTACTGCCCTGGGCTTCTGAAGGCCAACATCGCTGTTGGGATTTCCGACATGCATGTTGGGATGGTTTGCCAGAACCATGGTTTGGCAGCCAACGCCGAAAACCGATGTCAAAAACCAAAGTTCTCCAAAATGAAAACCAAGTGTTGGAAACTCATATACAATGTATTTTATGTAGAAACCAAGTATAAAAACTTAAAAACCACTTCATTAAGGTAAAAACCACGGCTAGCCAAGTTTATGCCGTTTCACATGGTTTTCACCAAAAGACCAAAAACGAAAGGTGGTTTTTAGAATGTTTTTGTTGGAGAACCATTTGGATATGTCCAGAAGTAAAAACCAATCATAAAATATTAAAAACCACTTGATTGATTTGGACGCCAAAAACCAACGTCGATAACCAGCGCCGAATGCCGATAACCTACGCCGAAAAAACAAAGGTTATGGTTTTTGATAAATAATGATTTGGAAAACCTGTTAATGTGTCCAGAAGCTTAAACCAAGGATCAAAACCTAAAAACCATTTGGTTAAAATCAATGCAAATAACCAATGCCGAAAACCGAACGCCATAGCCGAACGCCAATAATCGATGGTTATGGTTTTGGTTAAGCAAGAACCATGGATTTTAGAAACTTAAAAACCATTTATGAAAACACTCATTTGATGCATGAAAAACATATTTTGTTTTGAGCCATGACGTAGAGAAATGTAATGAGCTTGTTACAATAAAAACCTAAGTATTTAGAATACATCTTCAAAGCGCCAATGTCGCCATCTTTAGCAGCGTCAATGTCTTTCTTGTGCTTTTTGTTTCTTCAAATAAATTTTTCTATCTCTTTGAATCTTTTCATTTTGTTCCATGTTCCCGACGGTTTGTCAATATCAAAATCTAAACGGAAACAAACATTGTCATTAGCCAAATGTCAAAGTGAAAACGTTTTCCAACATTATGAAATAAAGTTTTAAATATTTTAAATGTTTTAAATTTTTACGAATACCAAGTTTATACTTTAGTCCAAAAGGGGTTGCAGACCTGGACGGATTAGGGTGTTATAGTTTACGAGTCCCATAAGAGCATTCCATTGATTAGTTGTGAGGGACGAAAGATTTGGGTTGGTAGCTCCTCGTCCTCCTTCTACCGTTCTAGCTTGAGATGTTAAAGCCACTGGACCGCCACCTCTATTCATATGGCCACAGCCGGCGGTGTCCCCCCTGCCACCGCGGCCTCCTCTGAAGCCGCCACCACAATTAATTCCACGCCCTAGGTTTAAGACACATGGGCAATCTCCCCATCATTCTGGATATCCAATTATTTGGAAACAACCACTCTTCTCGTGTCTATTTTGTAACACCCGAAAATACGACTTAGTATTTTAATTAATTTCAAAAATTAATTAATTACTTAGTCGGTCAAAATGAAGATTATTTTCTAAATTACATTTTTAACGTAAGAGTTTATCTTACGTTGTAGAGCTCGTTGTTCTAAACCCGACCGCGCTAATAGATCGTGAGTTGCACCCAAGATGCGATTAACAAATTAGGTAATTGGACCTTAAGTTGTCTCAATTGGACTAGGAATTTTAAATCAGACCCTAAAAGTATTTAATTATATACTCCCTCCGTCCCTTGTAGATCTTCCCAATAGCCCTTTTTATTTGTCCCACATAGATCTTCTCATTACCTTTTTTAACATTTAAAATACCACAACTACCCCCACTTACTTTATTTATTACACCTTTTCCACCTTATTTAATACACCCCACCCATTTTCATTAAGGATATTTTGGTAAACTTTCACCTTTTTTCAACTCTCTTTAAAAACCACAAAAAATCATAACGAGAAGATCTTATGGGGAGGGAGTATAATACACGTGCAGGGGGGTTTCACGCACATCTCTGTTTGTTTCTTCTACCTTGTCTGTTCATTCCGTCTGGTGGTTCTTCGTCGACCGGAACAATTAACGCCACTGGCGGGCCTCACCGTTGATTCCCATTGCCGAAGCTTCGTCCGTGCCTCTACCTGTCGTAGCGCGTCACCTCGTCCAAACCAGGGAGTTGAAGCGGAGAATTCCCCTCTCCAATCTGAGGTTAATTTCTTCGCTTTCGAGGTGAGTCGTCGTTCTATACCTATCGTTAGTGTTAATTCGTAGATTAGGACTTTCTTGATGTATAATCTTGCGATTTGATTGTGAATTTTTTTTTTGATGATAAAATTCAATGGGTGTTGAATGTGGGGCTGTTTTCCGTGCAATAGCAAGAATAATCTTGCTAAAAGGGAAACAGAAATGGTGACAAAACCTGTTGAAGAAGAAGGTGAAAAGAAGATATTTTGGAGAGGGGGAGAGAATGAGAGAGGAAGAGGGAAAATTGATCTTTATTCATGATATGTGATGAATGTACAAGGCCACCTATTTATACAAGTGAATGATCAGCTAACAAACCCAACAAACTTCTAACCAACTAACTACCACTAACAACCACTGCCACATCAGCTTGGCTATAACATTGCTCCCTCCTTTTTGGAAAGACTTGTCCTCAAGTCATGATGTCAAGGGGAAATGAGGATATGTGGCCTGAAAGTCATCTGCGGGCTCCGAAGTAGCTTCCCAGTGGCTGAAGCCTTTCCAATGAACCAAGAACTGAACCTCGGCTTTATTTTGAACCTTCATGATACGCCTATCAAGAATTGCTTCAGGTGTAGGGCGTGTGGTAGACGGCTTGCCTTGAAACCATGCTGGAATATGGATTGCTTCTGGAAGAACTCCATAGAAGGGCTTCAACTGAGAGACATGAAAAACATCATGAATGAGGGAAGTGGTTGGAAGTTTCAGCTTGTAAGCCACTTGGCCAATGGTGGCACTGATCTGAAATGGCCCATAGTACTTGGGAGATAATTTGTTATTGCTGCGCATTTGGACAGAAGACTGTTTATAGGGTTGCAGTTTCAGCCATGCCCAGTCTCCTACTTGGAAACTCCTTTCTGATCTATGCTTATCCGCCTGCACCTTCATTCTGTTTTGGGCCTTGCTCAACTGAAATTTCAGCTCATTGATCATTTGTTGTCTTCTCTGCATACTCCTGTCCACTGCTTTGACCTTAGACTCTCCAGGCAAGTAAGGTAGGTAAAGAGGAGGAGGTTGGCCATAAACTGCTTCATAGGGGGTGATTTGAATGGATGTATGGTAATGAGTATTATACCACCATTCTGCAAGGGGAAGCCACATACACCATTCTGAAGGTGTTTCACCACACATACACCTAAGATACATCTCCAAACACTTGTTAACCACCTCTGTTTGACCATCCGTTTGAGGATGATATGCTGAGGATAGTAAAAGATCAGTGCCTTGTAGAGAGAACAAGCCCTGCCAAAATTGGCTAAGAAAGATAGCATCTCTATCACTCACTATGCTTCTGGGCCACCCATGCAGTTTAAACACATTGTCTAGATACGCTTGAGCAACCTCTAAAGCTGTGAATGGGTGTTTGAGGGCAATAAAATGGGCGTATTTGCTCAATCGATCTACTATCACCAAGATAACCTCTTTACCCATAGATTTAGGTAATCCAGTTATAAAATCCATGGAAATATCTAGCCAAATGCCATCTGGAACTGGTAAGGGTTGCAGCAGTCCAGGAGAAGCCACAGTCTCATGCTTGGAGGCTTGGCAAACCAAACAATGCCTCACAAAGTGACTTACTGACTTGGACATACCTCTCCAATAAAATAATGATTTCACCCTTTTTAACATACCCTGCTTCCTAGAATGCCCGCCATCTGAGCTTGAATGATGCCATGTGATGATTTTTGTTTTTAAGCCCTCATCCGGTCCTATGACAAGATTTCCTTTCCTCCTAAGGAACTCATCTTGAAAAGTGAAGTTTGGCACTGGCTGGGATTGTTTAAGAGCCTGAATAAGGTGTACCAGGTTCAGGTCCAGGGCATAACTCCCTTGAATGAGCTTTCCCAGGTCTGAAGATACAATTGAAATTGCCATGGTTAACAATTCAGAACCTTGTTTCTTGGATAGAGCATCAGCAGCTATATTCTCCTTCCCACTTTTGTACACAATCTCATAGTCAAATCCCAGTAGCTTAGATAACCAAAATTGTTGAAAAGGTGTTGATATTTTTTGTTGGAGGAGTCATTTCAAACTCTTTTGGTCTGTTCTAATGATGAAATGATTGTTGATCAGGTATTGTTCCCATTTTTGGACTGCAAAGACAATGGCCAATAGCTCTTTTTCATATACAGAAAGCTTCTGCCACCTTGGTCCTAAGGACCTGCTGATGAATGCCAAAGGGTGCTGGTTCTGGATAAGCACTGCCCCAATGCCATCCTTAGAGGCATCTGTCTCAATTTCAAACCCCACACTGAAGTTGGGTACTGCTAGGACAGGTGCAGTTGTAAGAGCCACCTTGAGATTTGTAAAGCCTTCTTGTGCATAATCAATCCAAACAAATGCTCCCTTCTTCAAAAGATCATTTAGAGGTTTATTTTTTGTAGCATAACCCCTGATAAACCTTCTATAGTACCCAGCCAGACCCAAAAAACTCCTAAGCTCCTTTGTTGAAGTAGGGATTGGCCAACTAGCAATGGCATTAATCTTGCTAGGATCTGTTTCAACCCCTTTTGAAGATATAAAGTGGCCTAAATATTCCACCTTCTAGCTCGCAAACATGTACTTGCTAAGCTTAGCATACATTTTGTTAATCTTCATCACTTCAAAAACCTGTCTTAAGTGCTTCCAGTGGTCTGTTTTAGTCCTGCTGTATATGAGGATGTCATCAAAGAAGACCAATACTGATTTCCTGAGGAAGGGTTTGAAGACTTCATTCATCCACCCTTGAAAGGACACAGGTGCATTTGTTAGGCCAAATGGCATCACTAAGAATTCAAAATGTCCCGTATGTGTTTTAAATGCTGTTTTATAGACATCATCTGGATGAATTCTTAATTGGTGGTAACCAGCCCTCAAATCCAATTTAGTAAAGATTTCTGCCCTGGCAAGCTCATCAATGAGTTCTTCCACTATAGGAATTGGGAATTTGTTTTTTATGGTTTTCCCATTCAACTCTCTATAATCTACACACAGTCTCCACGTACCATCCTTCTTGCCCACTAGCACCACTGGGGATGCAAAGGGACTGGAGCTGTGCTGAATAATACCTCTGTCCAACATTTCTTGAATTAATTGTTCAATGGTGTCTCTTTGCTTCAAAGGATACCTATAAGGCCTTATACTCACTCACCTGGCCCCAGGTTCCAAAGGAATCCTATGATCAAATACCCCCCTTCGAGGTGGCAAGTCTGTTGGATCATCAAATATCATTTTAAACTCCTGTTGTAAGGCCTCCAACTCAGTTTCTGCTTGAACATGCTCTTTGTTCTCAACACATCGTAGAAGGGTAGAAGGCTGCTGACTTTCACTTGTTTGGAGTTGTAACAAACAGAATTGGATTGAGTTAGCAAACCATTTTGCTGTAGGATTTCCAGAGACCACTTTCATCTTTTTATTCACCATGCCCTTAAGCAGGAAGGTGTTACCATCCATATCAAATTTCTTGGTCATTTCCTTAAAATCCAAACACACTGGCCCTAGTGTTTCCAGCCATTGTATGCCCAAAACCATATCACAGCTTCCCAAGGGAATGAGTAATACATCGGCAACAAATTCTTTATCTTGCATGGTCCATGTAAACTGTTCACAAGCATCTTGGCAAGATATTGTATTCCCATCTGCAACTGCTACTGCTTGCCTAGGCATTGGTTTCATCTTGCACCCTAGGGCTTTGGCAGTATCTAAATTTAGAAAATTGTGAGTACTCCCTGAATCAATCATGATATGAATTGCCTTCTTTCCTACCAACCCTATCATTCTCATTGTTTGGTAGCTATGTCCCCCAGTCAGAGCTTGCACAGAGATACAAGCATCAGAATTATCGCCCTTGAAAGTAGAATCCACTTCACTATCCAGGTCAACATTCTTGTCCTCCTTTTGTTCCTCCTGACATGCCCATTCGGCAGGAATTTCAACAGTAAACAGTTGAGGCTCCTTGAAGCTACATTTATGGCCCTTCTCAAAAGGTTTGTCACAATAATAACACAACCCTTTAGCTATCTTTTCAGCTCTAACATCAGCTGGAATATATTTATAGCTTCTGTTTGGAGCTTTTTGCCCATAAAGATCAGGTTTCTGCCTGGTAGCAGACTTGACGTTTGGAGTGGGTAAGAGAGGAGGTTTTCCAAAATTACTCAAGTAATTTTTCTGCCCTTCCATCCATGGTTTCTGACTACTATGGTAGCTAGATTTGGAAAACTTTGACCCTTCCACCTCCAAGGCTTCTTCCTTTAACCTTGCATACTCTATAGCTTGTGCTATTCCAGTAGGCTTGAATGCCTTAACAAATAGCCTAACACTTGGTTTCAACCCTCCAATAAAAGAGTCCAGGATGTAAGAATCAAGCAGGTAATGGTTATTCTGAACTAGAACAGATTTCAAGTCTTCAAACTCATCAATATACAGTTCCAAAGCCCCTTTTTTTCCAGTTTCTTAAATTGTTCTACCACATTACATCCCTTCTCATCTCGAAATCTGGAACTTAAATCGATGATAAACTCATGCCAAGCCACATATTTTCTATACGGCAGGTAGCTAGTGACCCAATTTTCAGCCTTATCCACCATATGTAAGCTAGCAATATCTACCCACTGATCATCCGGAATTTTACAGAGTTCGAAGTACTTACATGCCTTTTTGATCCAGATCCTTGTGTTATTGCCATCGAATTTTGGAAACTCCAATTTAGGGTTGAAATTGAGGTTTCTTGCCTGTGATTGGTTCCCGTCACCTGCAGGAGCACGAAAATCCTTCTCCTTGCCTGTATTAGTTTCCATTTTCTTCAAAATCAGCATGATCTGGTCTAACTTCTTCTCCTGCTCGTTGATCCATTCATCAACACTCAAATATTTTCCTTCCAAAACCTTGAATTGAGCATCCATGGCTGCAATTCAGGATTTCTATCGCCGGTGAAGATCAGTCTTGACGCTGGCCAGGGATCGAGCTCTGATACCAATGCAATAGCAAGAATAATTTTGCTAAAAGGGAAACAGAAATGATGACAAAACCTGTTGAAGAAGAAGGTGAAAAGAAGATATTTTGGAGAGGGGAGAGAATGAGAGAGGAAGAGGGAAAATTGATCTTTATTCATGATATGTGATGAATGTACAAGGCCACCTATTTATACAAGTGAATGATCAGCTAACAGACCCAACAAACTTCTAACCAACTAACTACCACTAACAACCACTGCCACATCAGCTTGGCTATAACATATAACAGTGTAAGGCGGCGATTCAGCTAGCGTCGAGCAGTGGCCTGGGGTTGGTCTAGGGGGAATCCAACTAGGTTCAATGAGGTTATTTGGATACAATTGGCTTCAATTGGGTCCAAACGGGTCCAATCAGGTTCAATTGGGATATTTGAATTCGATAGGGTGCAATTGGGTTGATTGGACTGATTTGGGTTAATTGGGGGGCTGTTCGGGTTGCTGTGAACCACCAAACGGGGCTGTTTGGTTGGGCTCCAGGTTCATGCAGCCGGGTCGGCTACCAGAAGGGGTGCCGGGGTTGGTCCGACGACAATGGGGACTGCTCCGACGAGGGTAGCGGGCTCAGGGATCGATTCCTTGGTCTCGATTCCGCGCAGGTAAGTTGGGCTATTGTAAATTGGATCGTTTGATTATGCATGACGGTAATCGATAGGCCTTCAGCTTCCCAATAGGCCGCTAGTTGTTGTACTTACTTCTCGTGAATTGGATTTGAATTGAAATAATCTATTTATTGATGAACTATATATTGAGAAATACTCTGTAATATTTATAAATTTGGCCATCGAGTATAAATAGGCAGATCTGAACTCAATTGACTGATTGAATCACAAATAGAATTTCGTTAGGCGTTAGGCTATGCGGGAGTTGTCGCATGCCTGGTGGTCTTGGGTTAAAAACGTACGTACGGGAGTCCTTGAACTGTCTTGACATCTCAAAGACAGAGGCTTCAACCCACTCAAAGTGATTCTCCTTTGAGTTTCTGAGCTGACCCTTTTATAGCATCGCTTGGAGTACCATGACTCATAATTAGTAGATGAAAAAGCCTTAGCTGTCATAGTCTAAGAGCAAAGGATAGAAGAACAAGATATAAAGAGGATATTATCAATGTTACACTTGTTTACATGATATTGTTTGATTGTATGCTAATGTAGTGCTATTCTATGAGTTAATTCTTGCATTTGGTGTATTCTCAGCATTGTAGATAACAAAAGAAACTTAAAAGTATTTAATCAATATCACTTATAAAGTAATTAATAGCAATTTGGAAATATAAATGTGACATGAATTCTCAAGGAAACATCTTAGTAACGGTGTAATGGCGAAGTTAGAAATAAAAAAAAGCATAATGTACAACTCTTTTGGATGGAAAAAGTGCATAAAATTAAGGGGTACCTAACTCTTTTTCTCATTTATATAATATGGAGGATTCAGATAAAATTTAAGTCAAACAAAGAAATCATCTTACTATTGGAACACACTTTGCATGTTTAACTAAAGTCGTGTTCATTTCTGACAGGTTTTGATAATTGCCAAACCGCCGTGGATATAAATAGTTTCGGCGCGAAGAATGGCATGGAACAAGACCTAAAAGACTCAAGGACAAGATCAAGAATTGAAGACTTAGTCGAGTCGGTCTTTTGTGATCAAAACCGACAATCAATTCAAGTCTCGGTTCTCAAAGAGTCTAAATATTTTTTACAAAATCATAAAATATTTTTGTGCATCAAAATAAACATTTTTGATAATTTTTTAAAATCCCTGGTCCTTGCTCAGAACCAAAATCACCTAAGTCGGCGTACGGTGTTCGGCGTTCGGTTTTTTGGCGCCCGAACCAACTGGGTGGTTTTCTATGTTTTAAACCTTGTTTTTATCTCTGAGCATATTTAAAAGGTTCCCAAATAATTATTTCATAAAAACCACTTTTGTATCTTGGTCAATCGGTCTAACACGTGAGAAATGGTCAAAACCGTACACACGTGATTTACGACCTTGGAGACTTGGTTTTAACCAAACAAGTCTTGGTTTCACTATTTTATACCATATACAATGTTTTTCAAACTTGGTTTTTACTTTTGGGAACACTTCGTTTTTGGACCTCGGTTTTTCAAAATGGGTTTTAGCTGGCTAGACTTTAGCTGGGTGATAATCGATTATCACCTTAGTGACAATCGACTATCAGCCCCTGCAGCTTTGGAACTCCAAAGTTCTGAAGCACGCAATAATCGATTTTCACATTTGCAATAATCGATTATCAGCCTGTGCAGCCAAAACCCAGAAACTTCTGAGAGGACCAATAATCGATTATCACTAGTTGAGAATCGATTATCTGGGTTACCGTTGTCCTCCAACGGATAGTTTTTTAAACTTTTGGACAGGGAATCTTTTAATAATCGATTATCATGTCTAGATAATCGATTATTATCCTGCAACTCTGAAAAATTTGTCTTCATCCTGTTGGAAAATTTAGCAACGGTTTTATCCCATTTTGGGCTACAAAATGGCACCCAAATCCTCTCATTTTACACACAATTCTTCAACATTTCAATACTCTTTCATTGCATAAACATTCTTATTTTTCATAGCTATTTGAGAGCCAATTCTTGAAGAAATTGTCGTGTTCTTGAGCGTTTACTAGTTCACTCATATCTACTCTTTGTGAGAGTTTTATTCCTGAGTGTTTAAGTGTTTTTATACACTTTAAGGGAGGTTGTTCCCTTGTTGTAAACTCGAAGGAAGTTCTTTGTTCCTTCGTGAGAAGTCTTGGAGTGCGGTATCTCCGAGCAAAGGCGTTGAGGCTCGTGTGACTCGAGTTCTCAAGTTGTATCGGTTTGTTGAGCACCCTTAAGCTTAACGGAGTTAGTGTAGCTCGAGAGAGTCTCTCGGGAGGCTGGATTAGCCACACGTTGTGGTGAACCAGGATAAAATTCGGTGTGCTCCTTCCTTACGCTCTTTACTTTTACGCTCTCGTTTTTAATTTCCTGCGATTTTATTTTAAACGCTATTCACCCCCCCTCTAGCGTTGGGCCTTTATTCTAACACTTACAAATGCCTGAAAAAATGTAAGTCAAACAATAAATAATCTTACAAATGCCCCCCATAATGTACAACTCTTTTGGATGGAAAAAGTGCATACAATTAAGGAGTACCTAATTCTCTTTCTCATCTTTATATATTAAATTTGATAGTTAATCTCCTAGAATTGCGACAAGTGGCAAATCTACATGACAACGTGTTAACAAATCATCTGCTATCTATGAACGATTGAATGATGTGGCAGACTTTATATATTAAATTTGAGAGTTAATCTCCTAGAATTGTGATAAGTGGCAAATCTACATGGAAACGTTTTAACAAATCATCTGCCACCTATTAACGATTGAATGACGTGGCAATTATAATCAAAATATGGGTAGATCAAATTTATGTTGTATAAGTATATGTCTTATCTACAGTGTTGCTATAATTTTTTGGAAAAAATACTTTGTATCAGAATAGGAATAAACATGGAGAAAATACAAAAATAAAAATGCATATTTTTTTATCTCCAAAATAAGGGCTATCAAACATAAAGAGATTCCTTAGTTTCAAAAAGAAATTATTGGTAATGCATTTCTATCGAAAGACAATGTTTGTTCTCTATATCGAGGTTAAAATATACAAAATTGACAAGAAAGGTCAATTGAGAAGATCAAATTGAAACACAGAGGGAGTATTATTGAAGAAATTAAGGCCTACATGAAATTCTACGCAATTGAGTGAGAACTAAATTCCTTTTTCTGATTAAAAATTTATAAAATCCACTTCTAAAATAATTAAAATAATAGTATAAATTTTTAAAATCAACTTCTAAAATAATAGTTATATTTTTCACATAAAATTTTAAAAACTTATCACTTAAAAATAATCACATGTGTTTTACATCCAAATTTTTTTCACTTGATATGAATTTATTTTTAAAGAGCAAAACAAATATAGTTGCAAGCGTTTTCAAAAAGAAAAATTACATAAACATTTTAGAATAATCATATATATTTCACTTTTGACTTCATTGAAGTCACAACTACTACTTTTTAAAAAACACAAAAAAATATTCGCATGGTATATATACAACAAAACAATATTTGCAAAGAAACGAATAACATGTTTTTCATACGTATATTTTATCAAAATTTAACATAGATATGAAGTGAGGGATCAGAGGCGAGGTCATCGCCATTCGAAATTTACTAGCGTGAACATAAGTGGCTAATAGAGGGACATAAAACATTAAGGTTCCCCTAAATGCACAATTGGGAAAAAATTATGACTATTATAACGGAGACCTAAATTGGAAAAAGGTTCATCTAAAACGGTCACTTTGAAAAAATTACTCTACATTTAAATATTGAAAATACCTAAATTTTCTCCACTAAACATCCATTTAACAAACATATACGAAGGACACTAAGGCTCTATTCCGTACGCCTGATCTGATTGAATCTGATCTGAATTTTTGAAGTTCTGATCTGATCTGATCTGATTGGGTCTGATCTGATCTGATTGGATCTGATCTGATTGGATCTGATCTGATCTGATTGGATCTGATCTGATCTGATTGGGTCTGATCTGATTGGATCTGATCTGATCTGATTGAATCTGATCTGATCTGATTGGATCTGATTTTCTCTAATTAGATCTTGTGTAAATGAATTTAAATTTGATTTAAATTAAATTTAAAATTATTACAAAATTTAATAGTTTTAAAGTATTACAATTCATATATACATAAAAAAAGTATAATAAGAAAATAAGCTAATTATTGATATGCATGTTTAAACTTTTTTTTAAAATATTAAACATCTTTTAAATATCACAACTTTTTAATTTTTGTGAAAACTAAATAATCGGTATTAAAATAACCAAATATTAGAAAATATTGATGCTATTCTACAAAAATATCACATTCTATATACAT